CTTTGACTTAATTTCCTTACTCAGGAAAACAACAACAACAACTTCTCGAAGGCATATTCTACAGGGGATCAGTCATTTTTAGTAGGATGTGGGATGGAGGTCCACAGAGAAGCAGAAGTTCTGGGTCTCTGTGTGTGGGCTGGGGGTGGGGAGGGAAGGCGAGGGCAGGAGGGGGGTGGGCAGAGATTCAGAGACCCCCACGTCAGGAGCAAGCCCCCAGCAGCAGCAGGGGTGGTCAGAGGGGTCAGGCACTGGGTGGGGGTGGTCAGAGCTTGGCCTTGGGGCCCTGGGCGGCCTGGGCTTCATTTCTCGAGGATCAGCTGAGAGCCAGGGACTTTCTAACCTACGTATGTTCATTTCTACTTTATCCGCGTTTTACAAATAAGGAGACTGAGTTCAGACGATCAGGCGCCCTGGAGAAGGTCAGCTGCTTGCCCAGGGTCCTGTGCCCAGGGTCCTGTGCCCAGGGTCCTGCCTGGAGCCTCAGATGCCGCCAAGCCCGAATGGGCACACCCTGGGAGCTCCAGGGCCTCTGCTGTCCCTCGCTGCCACCCCAGGGAGCCGCAGGGAGCCAGGAGGCCTTTCAGCTGGGGAGTGACAGGAGCAGTCTGGGTTCAGAGAGGTCGCCCTGCGTGCCGGGTGGGGCACAGCGAGCCAGCCTGGAGGCCAGAGAGATGGTGGGACCCAGTGGTGGCAGAGGCAGGGCTGGGCTGGGGAGGGACACTTGGGAGGTGGAGCAGACGGGCCAGGAGGGGTGACCTGGGTTGGGGTGTGGGGAGGGGGAGGCTGCAGAGGCAGCCTGGCTCTCTGGCTGGGGTCTCTGGCTCTGGGGGCCCGGGCAGAGGGGGAGGCCAGGCGAGGGCAGGGAGGTGATGTGCCTGGTGGCTGCTGAGTTGGCCACCTGTGGGTGACTGGCCTGATCATAAGCCCTCCTGGGTGGAGTCCACGTGCCTGCTCACCGGGGCCTGCGCCGTGCCCAGCCCTGCCCTGCCAACGTGTCATTAGCACTGCTGATACGGCCACGTGGAGTCTCAGGTGTCCCCAGACCCAGGGACGGAGTTGGGGATTCCTACGGGCCCACACTGCCCAGCAAGGCCAGGGCCTGGCTCGGGCTAGAGGTGGACTGTGTAGACTTCCCGCCATTACAGAGTGGGAACTGAGGGCACCTGCTTTTTCCTAGTCAGCCCCTGAGGCCCCTGGCCAACCCACCAGGAGGACCAGGACCCTGCCTTGGGTGCCGAGGGCCCAGGGCTTGGCAGTTTACCCGGGGAGAATCCTGAGGGGTAGAAGCCGAGGACCTGGGCAGCCCACAGGTGCTGAACTCTGTGGTCCGGAGCAGCACCTGCGTGCGGGCACCTGGTCAGTGTTTGTTGAATGAATGAGCGAACGGACACTCTGGATGCAGACTCGGCTTCCTGAGCCTTCGCTGGGCCACCTTGGGCAGGCAACGCTCTTCTCTGGGCAGTGGTTTATCCAGACGAAAATAAAGGGTCTGGTCCGGGGATCGCTGGGGCCCTCCCAGCCTGAAGCTGGAGGACTGTCTGGGTCCCAGGAGTGGAGAATGGCCACAGGGCAAGGAGTCCAGAGGCCAGGGCTCTGCTGGTCACCTACCCCTTTCCACACTGTCCTAGGTAAACGGAGGCACAGGCTGTGTGTGTGTGTGTGTGTGTGTGTGTGTTAGGTGGAGGCCCCTAGCCTCAAAGAGGCCATGGCTGGAGTCAGTCATGAGGAACCACTCTGACTGGTCACGAGGCCTGAGGCGTCCGATTTCCATGCCCTGATGGTGCTGAGGCCTCCAACTCGGGATTTAAGGGCCAGGTTGGCTCCCAGCACCCACAGTCTTTAAGGGGTACCGACGTCTGGTTGGACCAGGCTGCGGCGCAGTCACCGCCCACCCCTGGTGCATCTCCTGGCAGCTCCACGCTCCACCATCTGCCCGACCTTGGAAGGTCGTTAGGAGACTCAGACCTCGCCCCACACCCCGATGGCGAGGAGGCTGAGATTGGAAGAGCCCTGGACGGCCAAGGCCTGGGCTCCGTGTCCTTTCTCGGGGAGGGCTCCTCTGCCACCCCCCGGCCCACTCGCAGCCTCCCTCCCTCTGGACCTTGGTCCCTGGGTGTCAGGGTCCCTAACCTGCTGGCTTATTTCCTGCTTTTCTTGCTACTCCGAGTGCCCCACGAGGGCAGGGCTCGGCCGGTGGCTTCACTCTTGTGTCTCCAGGGCCAAGAACAAAGGTGGGTGCTCAGACACTGCTGGGGGAGGGGACGAGGCCTGGGGTCACAGCCCAGCACCCAGCACCCCTGCCACTGCTTCCCGGGGTGGTCCCAGGGGTGTCCGGGGGTCATGCAGAGTTCCACAGTCACCGGGCAGCAGGCTGGCCTGTCCCCTGTGTGGAACAGGCCCTCCCAGGGGAAGGCCCCACGGCAGAGGGGAGGGGGCAGTGATGTCATAGGGCCCCCCACCCCCGTTCCTCCCCCTCTGACCCTCCAGCCTGGAATCCCGAGTTCAAACAGACCACAGAATGTGTGCACAGGACGTGTCTCTGCGGGCTGCGGGCAGGGCAGGGGCCTGGGCAGGTCACCCTGTCTCCAAGGAAATGCTCTCAGGGCAGGAGGAAAGAGGAGGGGCGGGGGAGGGGCGGGGGAGGGGCAGGTGGACGGGAGGCCACCAGGAGGAAGCTGGTGGACAAGGGAGCCTTTTTCCCCCCTCCAGAGTAAAAATGTTGAACAACCACTCAAACAACACCCGGAAACAGGGGACAGTGCACCTGACCTGGCTTCCCCAGGGACCTTGCCAACACCAGGCCACCGAGTGTCCAGACAGCCCGGGCGCAAACCCCCCGGGGACTCTTGACTCCCCTGTGAAGCCCACCCTCCGCTGGCCTCCCTGCCAAGCCCTCTGCCAGGAGCCCCCTGCCTTTCCCCTCCACCATAAGGACATTGCTTTGAAGGACGGTGACGGTCCTGGGCCCCTGCCCTGCCCGCCAGGCCTGTCTGTGCTGTGCTTCGTCTGGACTCAGGATTCCAGGCTTGATGGGTCCTTGTCACTGGCGTTGCCGTGAAGATCAGACGGTGCGTTCCTGGGAGGGCATGTTCATCCCTCCCTGTGCCCACCACCCGCCACCCACCTGTCACCCACCCGTCACTCACCCGTCTGTCTTCTCTAATGGGAACACACCGCGTGCTCTTAGATGCCCCTTTTATATCCCCGTCACCGTCCATATGAAATGGACACGTTTATGTGAATTAATGTCATTAAACAAAATGGTCCAGGTCTTGCTCCTTTGGGCTTGGGGAGGGCGGGGAAGAGCCGTCCCTGGAGATCTGATTTGCTGCTTTCCGTCTCCAGAGGTTGGGGACTTTGGACGTAATGAGCTTTTGCAGATTGACAACATTTGCAGTTCAGGTGTGTTGGCAGTAAGATCATTCCAGAAAGTCTTCAAGATCTAAAGTGACCCAGTAATTGCGAATGCACTTTCACACGTCCTGCCTCCCTAACCAGCCGGGGTCCTGGGGCGGAGTCTGTGCGCCCCTGGAGCCCCTTCAGACTGGTGGCTCCCCTCCCTCTCCGTCTTTGCTGCCCCCACCAAGCTGTGGATGGGAGCCTTCTCGTTGGTGTGCCCTCCGTTCTCCAGGTCGCAGAGCGGCCAGCTGAAGTGAGTTAGAAACAGACATGCCACCGGCAGGTCCCCATCTCCATTCCCAGGTCTCAGGGGCCTCTCACAGAATGGCCACACGCCCTGCCCACCTTGCCCGCGTCCAGCCTGCCCCATCTCTGATGACGGCACCATCTTTCTGGTTGCTGAGGTCTCCTGACGCTCTTTCTCTCAAGTCCACGTCCAAGCCATCTGCCTTCGAGGCTCACGATCCGACCACCTCTTACCACCTCTCACTGCTCCGCGGGGACCAAGGTGCCCCCATCTCTTGCCTGGAAGAGCCTCCCAAGGCCGGCTCTGTCTGGCTTCACCCAGGGGGGTCAACAGACCCTTGTCAAGGAATGAATGAGATCCCTGTGGAACAGGCTCCAGCTCTGAGTCTCCTTTGTGTCCCAAGCTCAGAGGAGAGGGGTTTGCAGAAGAGAACCCGCACTCCCCAACCCAACACTGCTCCGAGCTCCTGCCAAGTCCCCAGCCCTCTGGCTGGGCCAAGGGTGTTCACGGGGCTGGCTCCTGCCATCTCTGAGTCTGGGGGTCGTATCGTGCAGGGATTCAGGCAGACCCGGGTGCGAATTATGGCTCTGCCACTTCCTGGCACTGTGACCTGCAGGCAGGATGCTATTCCCTGTCGCACGGGGACCTCTGTGTCCTGGGCACTGTGCTAAACATCTCATTGGAAGCTCACGTCTTCTCACCAAACCAGTGGGACAGACCCCGTCCTCCTGGCTGCCCTCACACTGGAGGAAACTGAGCCACAAGGGTCCAAGAAGTCCAGGCCCGTGGTCTCTGTGCCCATCATTGGTCGCCTGAGCTCGAATCTGCACGGGGGGCATCTGCCCTGCTGTGCTTTATACGCCCCCTGCTCTCTGCGTGTGTGAGATCAATCTGCAACCCCCAGGGGTGGCTCCGGTGCAGAGTCAGTCCTCAGAAACGATGACGTCACTGTATGTGGTTTCAGGCACCAGAAAACGGGGGTCGGGGCAAGGCTGGAGGGTGGGGGGTGACTCCAGAGCTCAGAGTCTCCTGTTGGCAGCTGAGTCAGATCCACCAAGGGACCCCACAGAAACCCCACTTTCCGTCGTCTCTCAGAGAGGCCTCGGGTGCCTTGTCCCTGGTCCCCTTGATTGACAGCCTGTGAATGAGGAGGCTGGGCGGGGAGCCAGGAGGTGGGGACTGGGCTCAGGTCGGCTAACCAGGTCGCAGGGTGAAATTAAAAGGGAGGAGGAGAGGGCCAACCTGTCAGAACTCACACTCCTTCCTGGTGGCCAGGTGCCCAGGAGAGGAGCTGGGGAGCTGGGGTGCCTTGTGCCCGAGCTGATCTTGGAGGCTGGGAGCAAGGGACAGGATGGCCCCGCAGAGAGCGGTGAAGCTGTCCCTGAAGAAGCCCACTTACGCTGTGTGTGTGGCGGGAGTCGAGACGCTGGTGGACATCCACAGGTGAGAGCCGGCAGGTGCCCACCTGGCTGCAGAGGGCTGGGCTTGAATGGGGGGCCCCAAGGCAATGGGGTGGCTTCCTGGCAAATAAGCCGGGCCCGTTGGAGGGTGCGGGAGGCTGTTCTGACAGCAGGGAGGGCGGAGTTGGCTGCGCAGCCCGGGAGGAGGGCCAGGGTCTGGCTGTGTGCAGACAGGCTTTGGCTCCTGGGCCCCGGGTCGGGACTCAGCTGCAAGCCCCAGGGCCAGGCTGCAGGGTCAGGGCTCTGGGCTCCGGGCTCTGGGGGAGGACGGACTCGCTGGGAACATCAGAGGGAATCGTTGCTCAAGCTCGAGAAGCAGGCGAGCTGGACCCCCCCTGCCCTCCCTCAGTTTCTTGCCAACTCCTCTCTTGTCCTCAGTGAGGGGCGTGAGCGGCCATTTGGTCCTTGGAGGCCAGCCAGGGGCGACGAGGTGACTGGGATCAGGAGGGAGTGGCTAGAAGACAATCAATGACTTAGTATAAGAAGCGTGAGCCTGGAGCCCGGGACCTGGGCTTGCCATGAGATGCTGGTGGGAGAGGGAGGGGGTGATGGAGGGATGGAGATGACGGCGGTAGAGGTGGTGATGATGGTGGGGGTGATGGAGATGGTGATGGTGGGGATGATGGTACTGGTGATAGTGGTGGGGATGGACCACGGTGGGATGGTGATGGTGGTGAAGGTGGGGTTGATGGTGACAGTGGAGATGGTGATGATGGTGGTGATGATGGTGATGGTGATGGTGGTGGTGGTGCTGGTGGTGGATGGTGATAGTGGAGATGATGGTGGAGATGGTAGACACAGTGATGGCGGTGGGGATGGAGATGATGGTGGGCATGATGGTGGGGTTGATGGTGGGAACGATGGTGGCGATGATGGTGTCCGTGGTGATGGTGGAGGCCATGATGACATCTGAGGGGAAAGTTGTAGCCTCGGCTTCTCCTACTAACCTAGATCCTCCCTGAGTGGTGAGACTGTCCCTGAAGAAGCCCCCTTACACTGTGCGTCTGTGGCAGGAGTGGAGACACTGAGGGAGCTGGACCTGGTGCTCTCTGGGGGACTGACAGACTCACTGCGGGCTCCATCCCTGCTGGGCTAGAGAGACTGGATCCTTGGCCTCTGGGGGTCCTGGATGAGAGTTCCCCTCTAGCAGGACTGGGGACTGGGGACTGTCACCAGGCGGGACCTGAGCTCCATAGCCCTCTCGGGTCTCGGTCCTTGCTTGCCCTGTGTGGTGAGTGAATGCTGCGTCCAGCTGCCGTCTGGCCTCAGGGGAGCCTCTGCCCCAGAAGCCTTCCCCCTCCCTCTCTCAGGCAGTGGCCTGAGGCCCCCGTGACAGGGCTGTGGGAAGAGCCAGGAGCCCTGGAGGCCAGACCCTGTAGGTTTCTGCTGGGGGCCTTGACGGGGAGGGGCTGGCTATCCTGGATCTGTGTGGCCAGTGGAGATCCCGTTTCCTCCTGTTCTTTTAGGGCTGCCAGATTTAGTGAATAAGTAAATAGATGCCCAGTTAAACTTGAGTTCAGTTCACACACACACACACACACACAGAGACATATATATATATTATATATACACTTTGTGTGTGTGTGTGTGTGGTGCTGGGGATGTACCCGAGGGCCTCGTTCATGCTAAGCAAGTGCCCTACCGCTAAGTGCACCCATAGTCCCAAATAATTGTTTTAACATCTGAGTGGGTCACACTTACAGGACAAGCATCTGCCGTTTAGCCGAAGCCCGGGTGGACAGCTAGGCAGCCTCCGATTCCTCTGACAATCCCACTTGGACACGGAGACGGGGAAGGAGTCCCTCATGGGCTCCCACCTTCCTGATTGGCCCTGTCCTCATCTGGGACATGGCTATTTCCTTAAGTCCTTGTCCTGCTTCTGACTCAGGCCAGAAGCACTTGACAGGAAGCCAGCAGGGCTGAGCTCTGGTTCCGGTTCTGCTGGCCGACTTACTTCCAAGGCACTAGCCCTCTCTGGGCTTCATTCCTGAGCCCCGCAAGATAAGCTGGGTCCCCCCTGCTATTCCACAGGGAGGTAAACACTTAGACCCCAGAGGTGGACAGACAGCTTCTCATCCTGGCTCTGGTTGTTCGTGGCTGTGTGATCTTGGGCAAGCTGCTGCACTTCTCTGAGCCTGTTTCTGCACTTGGCAAATGGGGAAACAGGGACCTTCATGGATCTGGGGGAGGATAGATGAGACCAGGCACACACGGGGGGGCCCTTGTGTGGCGGGTGCCCTGGCAGGGAGGGGTCATGCTCTGAGGGCTCTGGGGGCTCCTCCTCCGCGTCTGTTCTTCCCATCACTCCTCGGAGGCGGGAGGGGAGGGGACAGCTCTGGGCGTGTGTGGTGGCACAGGGCATGCTGTCTGTGAACTCCCCAGGGAGCACCAAGCCCCCCAGCACCCTCCAGAGCTGGAACTGGGTGGGAGGCGGCCCTGGGTCCTGAAGTGAGCACACGGGAGTCTCTGCCCGGCAGCCTTTGGAACCTTCACCCGGCGCCAGGTGACGAGGCCATGGCTGCTGGGAGTCTCAGCCAGAGCACAGGAGTCCCTTCTGCAGCCCTGGGGAGGGACCCCCTGCCATGAGGTCTGCAGCCTGTGGGGAGGGGGCGGCCACAGGTCCAGGCTGGGCGGACGCCAGGCTGCACCTGCTGATGAGGGTTGAACTTGGGCTTCCCCGTCCCCTCGCTGGGTGCCCGGTTCCAGCTGGGGTCGAGTGAGGGGTTTCCAACTGGCCTTGGTGCTCGGAGCGGGGAAGCCCCCAAGAGGAGGCGTGCTGGTCACCTGAGCTCCCCAGGGTCTGGGCCCTCCAGGAGATGGGCGTGCAGGGTGACATCACCGGAAGTGATTAATTCCCCAGGGGCTGCTCGGGCAAGCAATTTGGAGAAATGTTTGTGTTTGGGGTAATTGTGTGCCCTGGGGTAGCCCAGCCCAGAGCCCTTAGGATTCCCCTGGCTCAGCAGAGGCTGCAGATCCCGCCCCTCGCCCCAGCAGGCAAGGCCCTGACCCCAGCATCCCAGTGGGCTAGCTCACTACCCTGACCCCAACGTCCCAGCCGGCTACTGCACTGACCCCGACATCTCAGTGGGCTAGCTCACCATCCTGACCCCACACCCCAGCAGGCTATCTCCACTGACCCCCACACCCCAGCAGGCTAGCTCACCAC